TCCAACTTTTCTATCTGAATGGCTAGAATTTCAGCCATGCAGGGGAGACGACAGCGTATTGATTTTAGACAGGCTGTTCTTCACCTTGCAGATTACTTTGAAGGATGAGTTTGTTGAGACAGAAAGACCCGTGTTGACAACGTTTCGTCATCAAGGTTCATGTAAAGTTTCTTTTTCGGAACAAATAATGGTTCGTTTCTCTGAATTTTTGTTTTGACATTCTTAGATTGCAATATTTTTAAGAGAAGAATTTCATCATCTTTGAGACGAACTTTCTTCGCAGAAACGCGAGGAGTAGTGTTTTCCAGTGGTCCACCGGTCTGCACAAGCTTGAGGGACAGGATCTCGACCTACGATTCATATGTGCACATATCAGTTCGCCTGTCCCTGTGGAGCCAAGTATGCTGGTCGTTCGACGCGTATATTGTCTAAAAAGGTTAGAGAACATTATGTTGTACGGTCACAGAAGCGCAGCAGTGGCTCTGTGAGGAGGGCGATAACTGAATACATTGTTCATACTGGTCTCTGTTTCAAACAACTCATCCTTCAAATGAACTGTCGCCAAGATTTGACAGAATATTATAAATTATTTAAATTAATCCCAGCATGTTAAGAAAATCAAAACAAGATTTTTCTGAACGTTTCGCTGTGTAAGCCACAGCTTCTTCAGCAGATTTATTCGGATTTTTATTAGTCATCAAAATATATAGTCAAAAATGTTTTACATAAATTAAAGTCATTTTATTTGAAGGTCATTTGTCCATGGACATTTTTACCAAGTGAAAAGTAGACATTTGTAAAAATTATATTTGTAAAATCTCAGCGAGATTGAAATGACTAATTCTAACGTTTCGTTCGGCAATCTGGTCCGAACTTCTTCAGGGAAATTAATATAACAGAGGTTTATATATATAAGGAACATCTTTTGTTTTTAAAAACTTTGTCCAATCATGAGTCATTAAACAGGTATCAACATGTATAATAAACAAAACTGTATGAAATGTGATCAAAATTTGACCTCGGGCTTACAAATATTGGTCTACCTTTGTTAAACACTTTAAACAGTGTGTATGTGGGTAAACAGTTGTAAAACATTTCTTAACGTCTCCATAAGAAGATATAGAAAATCAGGAATTTTGACCAAGTATCATCAATTAGTGATACATATCCATTTTTATTTATTAATCAGGATTTGTTAAGCATCAGCTAACATCCCACCTTCATGTCTGTTCAAACTGTTAGTATCTAGAATTTTATGATTAGACGTATATCAACATTATGGTGTTTAGGATTGAAGTTTAGCTGAAGCACCCTGTCGAACTTATTGCTTTGTCTTCTTTTTGAAGACTGAACTGCTTTATTCGACCTACTGGAGTTGTCAGGTGACTTGACAGCTACGGATTTAGGATATGCATTCTGTTGCAGACAACGGAGAGTGAAAACACGATGATTGTGCCAATTACATAGCTTCTTTGTTAATTTAATTCGATTACAAAATAATTCAAATGAACTGTCGTCAAGATTTGACAGAATAGTTCTAAAATATTTGGGCGCCGAGTGAAAAGTAGACATTTGTAAAATTTTCTATATAAACCTCTTTTATGTTAATTTCCCTGAAGAAGTTCGGACCAGATTCGCGAACGAAACGTTGGAATTACTCATTTCAATCTATCTGAGATTTTATAAAGATATTTTTTCTACAAAACTCATCCTTCAAAGTAATCTGCAAGGTGAAGAACAGCCTGTCTAAAATCAATACGCTGTCGTCTCCCCTGCATGGCTGAAATTCTAGCCATTCAGATAGAAAAGTTGGAGCTTCGCATAGAAAAGAAAATTATTCAACCACTTCCACTGTCATGGTAATAACGTTGTTATTTTTCGATAAAGAAAGGAAGACGAAATTTGCAGTATAAAATGATATCATTCTATTTCACAGGTCCTCATCAGCCGCAGACTACCTGAAATTACAATGGTTATATAAATGATAATAACATACTTTAATGTTTGAGTGGTAGTAGAGAAGAGATAAAATTGACGCATCCAAAAAAGAATGAAAGCATTACAATTTTTAGTTTAAGTTTTCATCATCAATTTACACGCTTTTAAAGTTGAAAAGAGGGGGGAGGGATAAGACAGAAAAAATTGATTAACAGAAACAATAACAAAACTTATTATTGTGTGTAAACTATTGAAATATAATTATGCTTTATTTGATCTAATCCACAATGCTCAAAGTTTTTACTGATATTACCAGAAACAGTGTTAGCTTGTAGGTTCACATAGCAACTCCAAAAAACAAAGGCGGTTACAGCTTATGAGATTAAGATTTGTTCAGTGAGTTGAGATCACTGAATTAGATGACTAATTATTTTAATCAAATCCAATATTCACTCCCTTTTGATTGCAATAATTAGTCATCTAATTCAGTGATCTCAACTCACTGAACAAATCTTAATCTCATAAGCTGTAACCGCCTTTGTTTTTTGGAGTTGCTATGTGAACCTACAAGCTAACACTGTTTCTGGTAATATCAGTAAAAACTTTGAGCATTGTGGATTAGATCAAATAAAGCATAATTATATTTCAATAGTTTACACACAATAATAAGTTTTGTTATTGTTTCTGTTAATCAATTTTTTCTGTCTTATCCCTCCCCCCTCTTTTCAACTTTAAAAGCGTGTAAATTGATGATGAAAACTTAAACTAAAAATTGTAATGCTTTCATTCTTTTTTGGATGCGTCAATTTTATCTCTTCTCTACTACCACTCAAACATTAAAGTATGTTATTATCATTTATATAACCATTGTAATTTCAGGTAGTCTGCGGCTGATGAGGACCTGTGAAATAGAATGATATCATTTTATACTGCAAATTTCGTCTTCCTTTCTTTATCGGAATTTATCAAGGGAACCAATTGTATGAAAACATTGTTATTGTTTCCGAAATGGATTTTGTTTGTCTGCCATTGACTCTCGTATTTTTTTCGGAATCTTAAGTAATATGACATTTTCCTACGTTTCTATGCGCATCCTGATTACAAATTATTCATCTTATTAAGTAACTCTAACACCCTTATTCAACTCCTCGTATGCATTGATTAATATTGAAAACTGTGATTATGACTACCTCTTTTGTGAAGAAAATTGTGTATAAGTGCGATTGTACAGCTTAAGAAAATGGATTCGTCGAAAATACCCTCTTCGCTGAACTACTTGTTGTGTTCTTCTCATGAATGTCTGGATGGGGATTATTTATGAATTGTAAGCTCTGTCGATGTGTACGAGGTAAAGTTAGCAGACAATCCTCGAGTGAAAAGGAAAGAAGTAAAACTTGAATTAGCGCAGTTATGCAGTGATTATATTTTGATCTACTGTAAAAAAAAACGTGTGAACGGAAGCATAAATAAAGGCGAAGCCACAGACAGGATTGGAATAAAAAACGTATGATATCTATACGTAAATACAACAAAATATTCTGAATTTGAGACAATAGCTGCAATAAGATTATACCTGGTAATACAGATTTAGTAAAGATACGACGAATCATTTAATACCAATTTAGTGATCAAAATATCATGTGGTATAATTTTTCAACAATAATTGAAATTAACATACTAAATCGAAATCTTTCAACTACAAAGTAGAGAACAACCCCTAGTCAATTTCTGACTCGTATTGAGAGAAGGGCTAAGAGATGATGTGAAACTAACTGTCTAATACAAGAAGCATCAATATATGTAGTGTTTAAAGTTTGGGTGTTGAACACTTTCATCAGTTTCTATTATACTTAGTGTACGAGTAGCGTACCAATTGCGTAGCATATTTATAAGTTGTCTGAACTGGTCACCGGATAGTAGTTGTGTAAAATCAAGTTTGTTGATCTGCACAATAGAAACTTTCAAGCAGGTGAAAAAACTTAGCAGACAGGTGCTCATATTACTTCTAGCATTAGAAATAAAAGCTAAAATGCACTAAGTGTAATATCATTTAGTCTAGGGACATTCGACCGATAAATTCTAGGCAACACACATTAGACTATATAAATACATGGGTCACCATAAAGCGACCAAGGTGTATAAACTGACCTGTGACCCAGATAAATGAGCGATAAATTAGCTGAGATCGTGATTGGATGATGCGAATACGAAATTGGAGATACAATGAGTTTCGTCAAAGTCTCAGCTATGCATTAATAATGAAAGCCAACAAGCAAGAACCTTAGTTGCAATGCTATCTGTCTGTCGAGCGCTAATTATCAGACAGATGATATATAAACTAAATAGTATGCTACTTAACGAACTAGTATATGATGTGACATTAATTGAAGACCGGTAGTGAAAACTATTTATCTATGATACTGAGTTTTACAACTTCATAATCCAAAATACACGACAGGATCACATTCCACTTATGAAAGCTACGTTTACGGTAAAAGAAATTAAGAAAATATTTATTAATTTGTTTGCCCTCCCGCTGTTATTTTATCCCCAGAATTGGGTTGAATTACAACGCCAGTAATATAGAAAGCAAGCGTACAGAGGATAATACAGAAATCAGCTTGAGAGGTTACAAACCTACATAACTGAAATATGCATTACGAAATGAAGCTCGTTGAAATAACCGAAGACAAATTAGATTAGGAAGGAACTAAGGACAGACAAACAGTGACCACAAAATCGTTGACTGTTGGTCTGAGTCATCTAGGCTATCATTCATTTGACTACAGTTAAAAGCTCTATACGTAATTGCTCAGGGTTAGTCACAACAGAGCAGATGCTCCTATACGTTATCTTCACCTTAAGCTTATATAAATACTTCGTAGTTTTTGTCTTCTTTGTTATGACATTCTTGTTACTTTCGAAATTCATTACTTCACTTCTACTACTTTCTGTTTAACGTAACAACTTCGTTTGAGTATTCGTATAAAGACTCTAAGGTAACGTCTATAAAGTTTACAACAAAAGAAATACGATACCAAGATCAGCATTTATATGCATTTAGGATCTTATCAACATTTTGTTCAGCAAATATTATGAGATAACAGTTCACCACAGCTGAAGTCATATACGAGAAGTGCAATAGTAATAAATTCAAGTTCTAAATGTTAGATAAAAGGGAAAAATATGTATTGGAATGCGCGTGCAACAGCACAACCAAACGCTATACAACCGGTAGAAGGTAGAATAAATCACTTAATAAACATAAAGAAAAGTAGTTGTGAAATTAGAACATCACAATTCCTAATACAATGCATAATAAAGTGATTCAATAAAAGCATATTGAATGATATACAAATGGAACCATTAGATATATCAGCAGAATTTGACAAAAGATACAATATACTAAGGTAATTATTTACATAACTAGATGAAGTTCAAATAAAAAAAACTAATCGTTCGTTGATTGTTCAGCTGATAAATATGCTTCATCAGCTAACTCAAAATATCTTGCGGCTAAACGACCCTGTAACGCAGAAGATGCGGTTTCTCCAGCCTGGCTAAAAAGATCCCCTGAAAGTAAAGAAAAAAGTAGACTTCACAAGCTAAGAAAATTAATTTTGGTACAAATCAATTCTGAACGACAGGTGTTTATGAAACTGCACACTTACACGACCGCATTCAACAGATTGTTTATTCCATCGAATTTCTCTAGGGAGACGAGTCAGAACAATAAAATCCACTAACTTTCATTAATATTTCGTACTTAAGTAGGATACACTAATGAAATAATGACATGATAAAGTCTATAAGCTATTCTTTGCCTCACTTCAGTAGAATCATACGACAAACAATGAAACCTGGTTGCTGAAAGCAACTGTTTATTAGCTGAACACGATAAACTGCACTCAGAAGCACGGTTATCCGTCACTTGAACTGCTCCAGGTTATATGCAAAGCTCTATGTTGAAACTTAGTCAGTTAATTAGACTTGCTTTTCTTCTACAACCTGAATTTCATGTTTGCAGTTAAATCAGAATCCGTGTTTTACTGTTTTCTGAAGTGAAATTTTCATATCACCTCTAACTCAACAGAGACTACTGATCACTCACTTTAAGTTTTACACTTTCTTATGAGTATTTCAGGCACGTGTATAGAGAGGGCTAAAAATTCCGTAGCAAAGGATAAAACAGTGATTGGCTTCAGGAGTGGAAAAATGCGAGCAGGCTGTAATCAAACTGTTACGGATGGAACGAAAATCACATAAGTCCACCAATTTTTAGGAATCCATATGTATTTGGTATCTACATGGTATCACACAGTGTGAATATTAGATGTCTGTATTAGACTAGTGAGTATTACTGATAGATGGGAGTTAAATGTACGAAAAAAATCATTGTGAGTAGAAAGAACCACATAATGTATAAGATACACAATCCATTGAGACCTAAGTACATGATAGACGCCAAAACTACCACAGGAAACCGAATAAGTACTCAGCAACCTAAGTATTAAGAATATAACCTAAAATGAAGTTTATTCGACATTACAGTGTGAATGAATTTACACTAAATTAGTCACAGTTTTAGTCATAGCAATAGGTGAAGTCACAACCATTCCTGAGAACTTCATTATATTATCAAGAGACTAGTTTCTAATAATATTAAGGATGAATATCACGATTTAATATAATTATACTAATCAACATCGTATTTAGCGAGATATTTTAATGATTCGAATTTATTTTTTGTTTTCTCTGGTACGAACTTACCTGCTAGTGACAAGTTCTGCTTGAGACCAAAACCTCCGACAGAATACATTTCAGCCATACGAGCTAAAATACGATAAACAGGCAATAAGTCTTCAGCAGCGTCATATCGGCCTTCAGCATCCAAACCTTTATCTGGACATCCATCACCGGAAGCTGACGAATCCATGGCACAATCGACTGCTCGTTTATACCATCCAATAGCTTCAGACCAAGAGTCGGGAGAAATGGATGGAAGCAATGAATAGTTATCGCTGTTGACAAAAGCTTGTAAAGCCGGGAGTAGTAACATGTCACTCGGGGTTGTAATAAAGTTTAATTGATGTCCTGTATTTAAAAGACTGACTGATATGTCTAGATAACGAGCAAGTAAAATCATGCATCGACGGTCACCGCCTTCTGCAGCACGCCAGAGGTGATCGATACCAACCCGAATATCACTTGGATCAGGCTGACAAGTAAAATAAATAAGCAAAGGCAAAAAAAAGTATAATTTTGAGCAGCTGACAAATGAAAGATGAACATAGGACTATCTCTTGAGGAAATTCAGATTTGAATTAATATGAGATGCTTTTCTCACATGTAAGTTAATTCCAACGGTTATACAACAGTACTAACTTAATGCAGTTTTTACCCGTGATTTTGAAAGAAATGAAATATCCAGCTAACTCGCTTAGTATGAACTTTGTATATTGGTAGGTAATTTTATGTGCAATGAAGAAGAACATCTTAGCGCCAACTCAAATTTGATAGCTTTATCTGACATACAATACTAAAAGTGAGTGGTAAGTATATTCAGTCAGTAAGGTGTTTTATTCTAAAGAATAAAAATTAATCATACGCTTGATATTCACTCTCAGTAAAAGATGATAAGTGCTTACACCTAGTATTGAATATAAATGGATACAACTGGCTGTTAGAATTCAGTTACCTGAAACAGATTATCCATGCACCTGGATATGAAGGTTAATAATACCACTTAATTGTCGGGGCTGTAGTAGGTGGAACAGGAATTGAACCCACGACCCACTGTTTGAAAGTAGAAGGCTTCAGCCAATGAGGTGCATCTCTGCATGGGCACAACTGATATACCTAAATTTTTTAGCATATTAATCAATATTTATTTGTGCAACCTGTATAGTGTGAGCATCTGTTACTTAGCAGTTAATAATTACGCACTTTAATGCACATGACTATCAGATGAGCAAAATCAAAACCAGTTCCCTTAGCACAAGTTGCTACATTCAGTATAGAAAGATCTAAGTAGCAGTGATTATTTTAATTCTTAGTGGTAAACAAGTTTACAGTTTAAGTAACTCACTTTTATGGGACATTCAAGGAGTTGGGTTGGTAAACCCAGATAATAATGTGCCATAACTATCATAGCTTCCAAGCAACCCAACTGAGCAGCATGACGTTCGTGAAATAGTACAGCTGACCAATCGATCGAAGCTGGTGGGTTACACTTTGTCTCATCATCATTCCCATTAGTGATATCTGTTTGTAAATTATCCTGATCGGCCAATTCTTCATTTGGATTTACAGCCAGACCTCCTAAGCCGGTATGTGACCATCCACCTTTGTTCGAAGGAATGAAACGTCCAGCTTCATGAAGTCGAGCAAGTTCATGATGGATCTAAGGTAACAAAACTCCGGATTACGCATTATGAAAATAATGAGAATGAAGTTATTCTACAATTCAGAACCAATAACACTTATGTAGATTCGCCTACAAATTAAGAGCTTAAATGTAATATTAACTCTAGAAGTCATTCACTGTTTCTGCTGTGTTCGTTGCATTATCAGGTTTATTTTTACGCCCATCTGATTCTTGTCTTTTTTTGTTTTGCATTAGTCTGTTTGACAGGAGAATCTATATTTTAAAGTAACTTACAGTCAGTCCGCTGAGTAGAACTCATCGAAGATCAATTCTTTCGTTTGTTTGAAACCACTTACCCGGTACAGATCCCTGATGTCCTAGATGATGAGCTACACTGATTGTGAGAGGACTAGGAGCCCTGATCTAGTGGTTGGAAAATGAATTTTTAAGCCAAATTCATTTCATCTGTGATAAAATGATAAGAGGAATAAGATAGATAAACACTCTTCCTGCTGATTGTACTCGCTATGAAAACAAATCACTAATTTTTTATCCCTGAAAATACTTCCAATAATTGTTTTTTTGCTGATATGAGAAAACTAGGCAATTCTTTTGAGTTCAGTTCGTAGAGATGCACTTCCTCTTTTGGTAGAAACACACACTCTGATTACCATCATGGATAGGAAGTATTTAAGTCTTGGTTTGCAAGGATTTGACTGGTTACAGAATTTCGTTATGAGCTGAAATCAATTAAAGAACCGTTGGAAAAGCTGAGAGTACTACACAGCTGTTTCATCCTAGTTTGGGACTCTTCATAAGTACGAACCCACCGGGGTTGGAACCATGAACCTTCCGGTGACCAGGCGAGCTCGTAGACCATTAAGGATAGTAAGACTGGATCAAAATATGATGTGATTTATTGCTCTCAAAACTTGACTTCAACCTGGTCTAAACAGTGGATCCTAAGAATCACGCATTATCATAGTCAAAAATCATATGTGACTTATTACCTTGTGTGTACAGATATGGAGGGTAAAAGAACAAGACCAATAATAAACAAACTAATTAGAATTATTAAGAAAAATATGAGCCATAAACTAGAATTAATTACTTAAACACGGTTACCGTAGCGTGTGATTTTGACAAAGTTAGAGAGTTGAAGACAGAAAGACACCTAAGTAAAAATTTTGCAATCTCAATTCACTGAAAGCTTCTTCAAACTAAACGGATACAGGAAACAGGCAGATGTGAAGCTCTCAACTTGACGAGAATACCAAGTATTTATTAAGAGAAGATATAACTAATCCGCGTAATTGAGATTCACGGTGATATTCATCCTGAGGAAGCCTGGCGTCAAATTCACTCAGCTGTAGAAACAGTGGTAAAGCATGTTAATAACCTGAAACCAAAGTTTAGTAAGTGCCAGTGGGTTTCTGCTACTTTATCCGAAGTGATAGACACAAGAAGACCAATTCCAAATATGATGAGGGGCGAAAGCTGCTTAAACGCGAGGTCACTAAAAGTCACCGCAAAAGTGGTGGGTAACAAAAAAGGGAAGAGACTGAAAGGGTATCGGCGGTAGGTAGCACCAGACAACTATTAAGCCTCATTAGGAACACGGATTGTAAAAGAGAAATGATAAGCGAAACAATATCCGAGAAAAATGAGTTTAATTAGCCCTCAAGATAGATTAGTGGATCGTTGCAGGGAACACTTTGAGGAAAGATTTAGCTGGCCTACAGCTACATCAAATTTACCCGACATCTAACAACTATCTGAATAAGATGTCGAAATCGGTTCTCCAACTGTTACTGGTTTCATAAGCCGTCTTTAATCTGAAGCGAGGTAATGAGGCAGAACATGATAGAATGACTAAAGAGATATTTCAGCACTATGGTGATAAACTGTTGTCTGGATTAAATAGGATATTAGGTAATGTCTGAGAACAAGAGATAGTCTCTTTAGAATAGTGTAAATCACTGATTACCTCAGTTTATGAAGGAGATAAATTTTTCTGTGTTAACCATTGGGGGATAAGCTTGAATAACATAGTACCTGAAGTCCTATTTTTAATGATCATGTGCAGACTAAGTGGTACTAAGGAGGAACAAACATGGGAATACCAAACGGTCTTCAGACCAGGAAGAGGATGTATTGATCATGTCTTCACGTAACATAAGCACACGTACTGGCTGGCACCCAACACCTGCTACATTTATTGACCTGTAGGCAACATTGAACTCCGTTGATCTAGAGATACTACGGCAATGTCTAGCTATAAAAATGTGACGAGAAAGCATATCTTATCAATCAATCAAGGCATTCTATTCGAATACATGCAGCAGTGTAAGAGCCTATGGTCTCCCTAGATGTTGTCTCTCTCTTCCTCAACGTTCTACTGACAGATACTATATGTTTTCTTTGTGACTTCTTTCACTCTAATAGCACCGATGTTGGTATATCAATCCATTATCAAAAGGAGTTGTTACAATGATTCACCTTTAACGTCTACTTTAGATTCAACATCGAAATATACGGACAAATAGATGGAGTAGCAGTCGGCGCTCCCTTAAGACCCCTCTTGACCAACTGTTTTATGGCTAGCCTAGAAAACGATTTCTTATCATCAACTATTGATGAGCTCCATCTCTACAAGAGATAAACTGATGATACTTTCATTATTTGTGGTGAGAATCGGGATCTCAAAAACCTACTCCAAATCTTCAATAATGCTCACCCAAACATCGACTTCACTCTGGGAGTCAAATCTGACTCAATGTTCCGTTTCCCCGATGTTCAACTGTGAAGAAATGCTGATAACTCGGTGAGAAGATCCACACATAAAAAGCCGACATGAAATGGACAGTTTCTCAACTTTTAGAGTTGTGTTCCTCTGAGAGGAAGAGAAACTTCGTATCCTCTCTTCCCCTGAGGGTCCAGAAAATATACACAGAGAAATCAGTTGACGAAGAATTGTAAAATCTCCAAGGGACGTTGATAGAAAATAGTTTTCCACCCAGATTCATAAGCAAGAATATGAAACCAAAGGAAACATCTCAAAAGGTTCTAGTTGCCTCCCCCCTCAAAAGATGCTGGTGCTTGATCTTGAACTTAAAAGTGATATCGAAGCAGAAATTCTCTATAAATAGCTTTCAAAGTCGCTCAGCAAAACATACTTTTCCACCAGCTACGAGTGACATTTCCCGCAAGAAACTATTCAACCAGCACGTGAAATACAAGCTGTCACATTGGGCCACTTCAACATACATATACCAGTTCACTTGCTCATGTGAAGCTGAGTGCATTGGTCATACTATGCGTCCGTCTGTAAAACGCGCTCAGGAACACTATCCAGCATGGTTAGCAAAGGGAGACTACAAGGGTGTACATAGATCGGCAATAGAACATCGGGTGAATTCAGAACACTTAGCTCCACTTGAAAAGTCCTTCAAAGTCGTACACAAGTTCCGATCAAACCTCTCAAAGGGAATGAAATCAAGACGTCTGGACAAAGCTGAAGTACTAGCGATCCAGAAGTTCAAGCCCACACTATGTACTCAAAGAAATACGTTCAACCCTTGTCTCTACCATGGCCATAATAAAAAGTCCTCTCAACAGAGACCATCCTATTACTTTTCTTGCCCAATCTTCTTGTTTAATTCTGTTATTTCTAATTTTTTTATCTGCACTACTTTGTTTTTAATCCGATCTTCCAGTTTATTACAATTTGTAATCTTATTAATTTGATCCTTGACCGGAAATAGTTCTGGAACTTTCTCAACCATTTACTACAAATACATGAATGTACAGCCTAGTTGATGACTTCGTCGAAAAGAAAATTTTCTTCACTGCAACCGTCTGTCTTTTCAATATTCCCTAGGATCTAATGTGTATATTCTGTCACTTGAAGAATCAAAAAGACATGTATTACACTTATTTTTCAGATCCCAAATCGACTAATGCGCTGGCCTATATATGTAACAGACGGCTTAAATAAGTGAAATGAAGTGTTTGTGATCCGTAAAATGCGTTGGTTCTACAATAGCTACAAGCTTTTCTAGTTTCATTTATATTAGATACCTACGATTATTTTAGAAATTGATTGTTGGGCTTATAAATCACATCCTTTACATAATGCTCAGTATAACTCAGTTTTAACTTACTTGTCCTAGAATGGAATGTCCGATTTCCTGATCCAAATTTGTAGGGTGATCGGCACAACTGGGCTTGTGGTTTTCATGCATTAGCTGGTAAAGCAAATTTCCTGTAACACGATGACATTCTTCTGAATCTACATCACTGGATTCACTTATATTACGTTGCCTTCTACTGACCCAATTACTGCGACCAAGAATTGAGTGATTTGTCCCAAATGGGTAAGGTTCATCAACCACTGAACGTGATTCTATAAAAGATCGCATACCTAAAGAATAGTTTGGGGAAGCGGATATTGGTGAATCCAACAAAGAAACAGAATCACGGACACTGTTTCCATAGTCTTGATGATATTCAACAGTAGCTTCTTGAGATTTACTATCAGGCAATTCAGAACATGGTTGGACTAAGTTAGTTCGTCCATAGTATCCTGAGTCACCAGATGCGGCGCGATTTCTTACACTTATTTCTTTAGATAGCTGTTGCGAATAACTCTGTCCAAAAATCGAAGCGTTCAATGGGGGTAGGTCATTTGGTAATTCAAAAGAATGGCTGAGACACTGTGCCTCATCAAGTTTCAGGTCACAAAAGCTGTCGAATGCTAATTCATCATCTATGGAATGGGAAGACAATCCACAGTCTACACTTTTTCCCGTAGATTTGGATTGATCATAAAGTGATGCACTAGCACAGCGACGACGAGCTTTAGGAAACGCTGACGTGGACATGTTTTCGGATGAGCGGACAACAGTTGCACCGAATAATTGCGACGGCGATTTAGAGAACATCTGCGTATTTAAGCTGTATGTACGTCGACGAAAACTTGACTTTTGAATTTGCCCGTATATACTCACTTCACCCTAAACATCATAGTAACAAAAATAAAGAAAGCGCCGTTTACAAGAGTTACTCATAGATTGCACAACAAACTTTGTGCATAGTATGCATTTTATTTACTTTGCAAAATAATAACTAGAACGACTTATTTTCAATGTAAGAGTAAAATTTAGGCACTACGGTTGAATATAATTCCGTATTAGATAACCTTTTTTGATATAGCACAGTGACACAATATTAACAACTGAATGACGCTTCCAACGCAATTTATTGCTGACAATAATATCACTGTGCATTATAGAAAATAAACTTATCTAATATTTTATTGAATACATAAGTTATCAGAAATTTCCTATGAAAAAAATTCAAATTTAAGATTGAGTAGAGTAGGTACCCAGCCTCAGTGTAATAATTAGCCTAACGACAAAAATAATTAAAACTTTCTGCCACATATCCAGATTCAGTGGACACATGGTTATCAGGCTGTGGTCTGTAGTTTACTATTTATGAATTTATTGTATAAGCCAGCTAAATAGTCCAACGCCATCTAGTTGATATCAGTTAGCAGTGAAACAGATTCATTCGTTACAAGTCACTTTCTCAATATATCTTATTTACAACAGGACCTTGAATTTTTATGGGTTAGGACTCAGCAAGTGATGTCACTTCCAGTTCCTTTTGCATGTTTGCTGACCAATAAGTTCTTTCCTGGTTCACTGAAATGTCGAAGTTCTTTGTTGTTTATCCTTTCCAACCGTGTGATCTTCAGTGTCAGGCGAAGACAGCTGTTTATGAAAATCTGCAGCAGACCCTTGGGTTTACTCTCCGTGACGCACACTTCAAGTATCTGAACTATATAGAAACATTGACTTAGTATTGATTTTAAAAACTCATATCTTGTTACTTGTGCTGCCAGTCTCCACACCGATTTCAGGGTGATTAAAGCTTGCCATTGCTTTTACGATCCTGGTTGGCTTTTACACCTTCACCTGTGCCCCCTGTAGTTGAAACAATTTTGTTCAGATAAGTGAGAGAGACGGCTTGCTCTGTATTTCTCCCATTGATGATGATTGGTGCTTGCTGTTACTGTTGGTTAGGTATATTCCCCACTTCTGTCTTTTCTATGTTCACTAAAAGTCCTGAATTCGCTGCTTCTTCTGCAAACTTGTAGGTATTCGTTCGTAGACGTTCGAGTGTGGGCGATATCAGGCATAAATCACCTGCGAAATCCACATCTTGTAGTGTTTTTATCTATATAACGTATGCTTTTCTCAGTACTCAGCGTCTGCCGCATGATCACTTTTTTAAACCAGACAGCATACCAGCTAATCAATATTTCTTTTAGATACAAGTTATTTGTTTTGGCATGTCTGAGTATTTGGTGCTTTGAACTTTACCGCAAATTACCGATATACTGAAGGCACTGGTACGTAAAATTACTACTAGTGGAGTGAAATAACATGGCTCTTAGTATTGCAATCTGAGCTTCTAAGAATATTTAGAATCGATGGTATAAAACAAGACCTGTTCATTTTCAAATTCACTATATATATTATATTATAGAAAATACATCAGAAAAATGTTTTGAGTAGACAATCCATATTCTTAAAACGCCTAGTAAATGAGAGTAATGGACACCGAGTGAATAATTCACAACTCATGTACATAACGTCTTGGTGAAGTGCTTTATACGACAATTTTATTGGCTATTAAGTAGAGTAACTCAAAGGAGAAAGACGTAATCAGAAAATCAGAAACACGAGCTTTATATTCATGTCTACATTACGATACTACATTTTGTTATTGTTTTCACCCTATTTTTGCTTGACGCCTTTCTACAGATAACAAAATTATTTCTTTGCTCGAAAAGAACGGACAAAAATTCGTTTGATTCACTTATAATTTTTGTGGAGAATTATGCAATACGTGAAACAAACGAAATCCTCCGAATATAGGGGATTTTCCAGAAACCAAAAATATAGCGAACAACTGAAGTAGCTTTACCTGGTCAATTTCTGATTCAATATTATTCAAAATATCATTAGTTTGGCAGTAATGACCTTGTGAGCCAATTTCAGAGGGGGCCAAATCGAATTCAGCCAATCCCAACCATTTGCACAAGGGATTACATCTGTGACTATGGAAGAATAATGCCATTCCCCTAGCACCAAGGTTGCCGTCGTTGTAACCCACACCATCTGAAGTGTGAATCTGGGGATCAGTGTAAAGGTCGCCAACACCTTGAATATCTACCACTAATAGTCGGTGGCCAGAGCGTTCAAACGTGAAATGACTAAACGTCTGAGCGGAAAAGACAAAGGGAAAACATTTCGAATACAAAGTGTGATTCATCAATTTAAAAATGTAATATGAATAACTAGTCTACAGTTAAAATTAGGTAAAACTAAACAACGTACAATCAAAGCGATATTCACCGTCCATCAGTCTTACAAGTGATAAAATTGATGGAATTTCGCTTTCATAATGATACATTCTATATGAAGGAGCAAATGGGGAATCAAACTGTTTACGACACATATTCATTTTCTCGAGTTCTTCTACTTTTATGTACACTAATGAATCAAAAGCTGCGAATTGTTCATCTAAAAATTAATCCCTGTATGCTTCGAAGAATATTGTAGTGTACACACTCATGACTTAAGCATTTGCTTTATTCTCTTGGATGTGTCATGGACAAATTACATGCATCAATAAATATCTAAACAAAAAGAATGAGTTGCTTATAAAGCCACGGGGACAACTGATTTAGTAAATAGCTAGTCATGAGAAGAGAAACGGCAAACCCTTTTAATTCTAATAGCTGGCAATTTGTATGACTAAAAGATTCTTAAAAATGAATAATTTCAAGAGAGCTATCTGTAAGAACACAGGTTATCCGAAAGTCTCTGGTGACTTTCTTAAATCACTGGGCTACCTAAATTTTCATCCAGCAGAATGAATAAAGTCTCTACTTCTTATTTTAACCATTCAATTTTGTCTTTGGGTCGCTACAAGATTGTTGATAGTTAGCGCATTTCCTGAAAATGAGTGGAACAATGTCATGTAATATCCTGTCGAGTACTATTTTACTTGATCCTCTACGAAGAGTGAATATTTTGCTAGGAATTCTTTACTACGTGCTAACATACTGTCTGGAATAAAGTTGTTTTCATTATTATCACGTGAAATGTATTCATTTAAGGATTCGTGTAGTTCAACTGAGTGAGGGCGAACGCCAAGCACTACTAAAGACTAGTAAGCCAGAGTGAGATATCCAGAAACCTTTGACTTTTAGTACTTAGTGTGAACTGATCTACGTTTACCTGGTGATAACTGGTAGTGGAATTGAGGATATGTTTAGTCGTCTTCAGGACCTGATATAATCAAGTGTATCTGCATCCCTGTAAGTAATCTCAGTGAGATAGACTAATAAATTCTATTCAGTAGCATGAACAAGGGGAAATCGCAGGTACCAATGAATATTCTAACATCCTATGAACCAAATAACAGAGATTGATAAATGTACATACCTGAGGTGTATTGCGCAAACACTCATCAACGAAGCCACAGTTCGAGTTATATTTACGGTATTCACCTTCCATGTAACGTTCAATATGGAGGAACATTGGGGACGAATTTCTTTTATCGTCAGTAACAGTATTGTCAATACACAACTCAAGAACGGACAACTGAAAAATGTCCACCTTTAAAAAAAAGAAATTACAGCCACTTGTACAAAAAATTCTAGTTTTTATCGTTAAACATAAAGCAAATCAAAAAATACTACTTATACTGATATTCAGGAAAACATGAAGTTAATGGTATGACAGGAAGTACATTTCAAAATGAAAATTTAAATATGAACAATTCATCAAAAAAACAATCAGGTACAGCAGAGGATGAATTTGGACTCTGAATTAAGGAATTATCTATCAAGAATACAATGAATATATGCTGACATGTAATTAGCATACATAAATCTAACGATAAATGAGCCAGCTACTGACCTTTTTAGGAGGGTTATGGCGATTAAAAGCCTCACCCCACAACTTTGCTTCCATCTGCAGACGCACATCGTCGAAATAAACCCGTTTATCCACAGGTGCTATATATCGTTTAGCCACGTAATTTGATGTATGCTGCCAGTCTTCTGTCCCTGATCCTCTCTGACTTAGTTTTTTCCTGAAAAAAATATTTGGAAAACTAGGTTAATGTGCATGACATATGAAAACAAATTTAGAGTCCTCTTTACACAACACTGCATTCATTAATCAATAAGTGCTACCTGCGTTTAGAAAACACGGGACGACATAAATATTAACCATACGTACAGTCTAAAGCACTCCCTCATTGTTCCACGATCGAATGGTGATGATTCCATCTTGATTTGTACTTCATCCACAACCCATTTCTTTTTAATTGCACTGTATCGATGCCTGAAAGCAGAGTGGACAGGGTATTCACTCCATGGTAAATTATGCCAAGGGTCGATATCTACAGACTTAACTTTTTTGAGGGCCCGCTTCCATAATAAAACTGCAAAAGGAAAATAAATTCAAATGATCACGGCGAAAAGTAGAATTGCAGTATACGTCAAACTGAGTGAACAAACAAATCCTTTTGGAGATAATACGAATACAGATGGTATTTGAGAACTTCCAATTAATACAAGTAGAGACGGTATATTAGGGCGGAGTCATTTTTCGTGGAAGCAACATATGTAACACCATGATTACTTTAGAAAAAACCTCAAATCACTCAGTAGAAAGATATGTTCTGACAGTGAGATCCGGAAACACTCGCTGATGGACTTCACAGGCAGTTTGATTGATTGAGTTTCAAAACAGAACTTTGCACAGAAGTGAGGTCCAAGCTGCCACCATCCTTATAGCACACAAATATAAAAAGATAGACAAGAGATCCGAAATAGTTATTAGCAGAAATTTACGTTGGAAAGAGTAGTAACATGGAAGAACTTGGGGATTTAATGGATTTGAGAGTATGAAACCTAATATTACTTAAAAAGCCGACTTTAATTAGAGATTTGTTTTAAGGATGATTTTGTTACAAACTGACATCAGGTAAGAGAGCCCGTGAAAATCAGGGAGCATTGAACGGTTCTATAGCCATAGTCAGGAACTCCTGATATGTGTTCACCAATGACTGAGTCATAATACCACCGAGTGACCAACTAACGTGGGATCTTATCCATAAGCGTGTCATTTTCAGTTGATACACTTATCATAAACAGGAAAAATGTAAAATAAATAAATATACTGAAAATGGCTGCACCCATACACACAAATAGTATTATTTACGCACCCGCCCTTTGTTGACTCGTTGACGAATTATCAGACTCTGATGGTAGCCGAGAGACATTTAAGCTGTTTTCAGTACCAGGCGAACGCATAATTTGAAGTAGCCGTGCAAGTATTCCTTGGAACAACTGGAACTGAAGATCCTTTGCAAGCGGTAAATGTTAAGAATCTAGAAAAATAGAAATTTATCGGTACAATTTTCCAAAAAAGTATCAATAAACTCTGCTGAAGTGCAGTATTCAAACCTACCTAATAAGTAGCTACTACGTTCATGTATTGGAGCTATTTCCCCTATATGCAGCCAATATGAGTGGACGATTGAAAGGTCGGGAAATGAAAACATAGCCAAGTTTTAAGGAACAAACTGGCTCTATCTGGTTTAGAAATAATGGACGGAGATTTTCAGTGAAATTCTTGCAGATATATCGCCAACTAATGAGTTTATGAAGTGGTGTAAGTCTGATAAGTTTTACAGTATAAACTAATCCTGTGATGTATAACCATAATAAAATAAAAGAAACAAGGTGCCTCAACAATACTACGTACTTCCCAAATATGATGGATTCTTCATATTTAAATGGTGACAGTAACGTCACTCCTATTGGCAAGACTATGTTCGAGTCAGATGTGAAGAACCACATGTCTGCTCAGTAGTCGTCCTCATGTTGGCACAACAGGGTCGACCAGTAACATGCTAGTTCAGTGTTGTCAGTCTACAGCTTCGCAGAGGGCAAGCCCCAAACTGGAATTCGGGGATCTGAGCCGGTTTTGCGAGACAAAAAACAGTAAGGAATGCACCACAGTACCGCTTCAACGCTATGTTGAAGTATTTCAAATACATCACTCACGTACAACAAATTGTCAGATTGGTCCAGAGAATGGATGCTCCCAATCAATGTAGCAAAATGCGCAAGTATGCGCATTGGACACGCTGGCATCAGCTCCTACGAACTAGAGGGAATAACACTCCCATCAATTCAGACTCATTTGAATTTAGGTGTCATAGTTAGCCACGATCTAAAAACTACAGCACACTATCACCCCATGGCTGCACGTCGTTTCAGCTCATAATGGGCAATTCGCAAAGCTTTTACTACAATCACCAGGGACGTGTTCATCTCATATACATCTCTGGTAAGGTCAAGACTGGAAAATTATATCCAGGCAGCCGGTTCTTGTCTTAGAGGGGACTCACATATTCTAGAAAGGGTTCAGAGGAAGGAAACACGGATGGCTCACGGCATGACTAATCTATCATACGAGGGAAGACTAGACAGTTTAAATCTCTTTTCCCTATCATACCATAGGCACAGAGATTTAATTAAGTTAAAAATTTTAATGACTATGGACCTGACCTATTCTCTTTCTTCCTTTCCAACAGGTCAGAACACCTTAGAGGACATAGCAGAAGAGTTCAAAAGCCAAGAAGAAATCATATTGCTGTTGAGTAGTGGTTCTCACACCGAGTCATAAACTCTTGGAACCGACTCCCAGAAGTGGTGTCTGCAACCTCAATTGGATCATCCAAGAAGCGTTTGGACAACTACAGAAATCTACTAGAAAAGAGTTAACGGGCTCCAATAAACTGCATGCAGTTTTCGTCGTTCTGTCAGTCAATACGCCTTGCAACTTAATAATCATACAACCACTGAAGTTTTTACAAAATGTGACTCAATACAACAGAAGACATCCGGTAGTCATACCTGACTAAAGTGTGCAAACCTCACAAACGTCAGCTGAGTGCAAGGTGTAGTAGACAATTAGGTATCACACACACCGCAGCAAACTGTAATTGAGAAGCAGAACACATATTTCGGTGGAAATACTTTATCAAAAATAGCGACCTCTGTACAAGGGCAACATTAAGATTTACACGAAGAGAAAGACCTAGGTGGTTGTTGTTCACGTCACACTGCATGTGGAGAGGCTGTGCACATCAAGGCCACTCGCGCTCATTGTGATTGGTACATTTTAGTGTGCATATATATTGCGGCTAATATGGATTGTATGTTACTGGGGCTGGGGTGAGTGTAACAGGCAAATCATCAGGCACATAGGTAATGAAAGCAGAACACGAGCTGTGCAGGAGAGCGTTTGTTCCACAAAACTGACTTTTAATAAGTGCGGGAGTACAGTTTTGGAGTATAACAGTTTTACCGATCTTCGTTAATGTTTAGGTTCTGCAATTCGTGTATCTCCTGGTCCAGACAGTTGACTCCCATGCATCTTACTGCAAGTAGAGAAAATAAAACATTGATTAGTGTTATGATATAGGTTTTGTTTTAATTACATGAGGATAAACGCCATAGTGATGCATTTTCGCGCACTGTATGGGTTATCGCGTTCAAACCTATAGAGCCGCTATAATCGTTCAATTTTGTCAAAATAGATTATATTTGAATAGTTTTAGGCTTCTGTAGCCGAAAAAAGCAATATTTTCCTGTATTGTATTCGTATTATTGCGTAAAACTGTCTTGATAGCCCAGACGAATTATTACTAAAAGAAGTCATCCTTTATAAGAAATTTCGCATGGAAAAACTATTATTTGCGTTTCAGAGCCTTGCGGTTTCGCTATTTGTGAGTTGTTTTAGATCTTAAGATTGTAAATGGACTACAGGCAATGGTTGTTGTCATAGCAGTTATTCTATGAGAATCGGACTATTGAAAGAGAAATAGCCCACAGACATAAGTTAGACGTACCTTTCGAGTGTGTCAAACACTTTTATTATCATCCGTGATGACTGAAATATTCCATAACACATCGAAGAGATCATGCGGTGAATGAGACAAGCTGCTGAATTTCCTGGTGATTATATCGATTTTGATGAAGTTCCCAGTTGAAATCGCTCAAGCGAAGATGTGATACTAGTTTAATTTACATTGTCACATGGAATTTTGGGAGACCGTAAGTGCTCAGTGCATAATATGGCATCAGATTATGTTGATATTAGTGTGCATTGGGGTAAGAAGAATCGTATAGATGCTCCTTCTAAAATGTCAGACTGTTTGAAATTATTGTCAGCTTTATGTCGAATAGTAGCTAGCAGCTGTATCCTACAACTGCCACACCTGTTACTTAAGTTATATCAGTCATAATAATTATTCACTTTCAGATCACTTAGATATTCCGAGATCCTTAATGAATTACTTGTGGCTATGAAGGATATGGAAGGTGCACTTATGGCTCATGTTTGTAAAGCATTTATTATTAAACAAGTAATCTGTAGGGATTTTGTGATGTTCAGGTTACAATGCTCGAGTGTATGTAGTGACAGCATGCTATTGTGCGTTAAGGGACAGTTGATGAAAATGAAGATAGAATAAAGTTTTCTATAAACTCACTATGACTATTGCAAATTGTTGATAAGAAACTGTATCAAAGGAAAAAATTTCGAACAACTAGAAAATACTCTTTTCTTTTTGATCATAGCTTGAAACCACACAGTATTTTTGGTACAAGTATGGAATTTTCAGCATATGATATCGGTAGCCCGAATTTCGCAGGCCGACCATTGATATCGGGTGTGCGCTGGCAGGGGATCTAACCCCGGACCATGTGCATGGTCGACGAGAGTCCTAACCACTGTGGCACCGACGCACAGTTTCGATGGTTATTACCTTTTACATTTGTAAATCATCTTTCCAAAGTTCGGAATGACGGCGAAACATCAATGCTCCTCCATGATCCCTACAGAGATTCGTGAGAGAACTTACATGTCACGTTGTCTTACGAATTTTAAGCTTGCAGATCTTTCAATTCAACTGTCACTGAAATATCACTTATCTACCCCACGATATTCTTTTTATTTACGCACTATTACACTCTATTTTATCTTAACTAGATAGGCCTTTATTAAAGCTGAAACTTACTCTTTGTGCCTATTAGTTGCTTGCTTAAAGTCTGGTTGCTTTGATTAGAAACACAACAACACCAATGTTTGAACAAAGCTGTATTTTCATCGAACACGTCATAGTTTCCATTTTTTTATTTCCTTCACGTTCCCCAGTGGAACATAGGGCTTCAAGTTAGTGGCTTGAAGTTTCTGTAGCAGTGCTTATTTTACAGGATGGGGTTGCTAGCCTCATGCCCAACCTTTCCTCTTCACCAGCGTTATTTCTGGCTTAGCGAGGTAAAGGAGTGCGTCGGCCGGGGATCGAACTCCGGATCATGTTCATGGTCGGCGAGCATCCTAACCACTATGCCACCGACGCGTTATGAAGTTATATAAACTTTTTATTTTTTTAAGGGTGACTGAATTATTAGAGCGTCTTGTTTAGTACACATATGCATGATTAGATTGTTCGAAATGTGTTCCGTCATCAGTACACTAAATAATTCACACAAGTTGCCTCTTCTTATCTTGAAAAGGTAGCTAACCGGTTTAACTTTTCGATAATTAATGTATATGTTCTGTTTAAGTGGATTTGTGATTTCACCCCCTCCCTTACCCCACCTTTGATTGATTGTATCAAAATGTTCGGTTTCTGTTGATACACCAGCGCCTAGAACGGACACGCCTCGGCGGTATCTGAGGATTAGCATGAAGTAATTTGATGAATGGTGGTGAGAAAAATCAGCGATTCACTCAAACAAATAATTACTGACAACCATTGAACCAGAGGTGGCACTTGTCACCCAAGTACTCTAGCAGATAAGACTTTGTGACGTTTGGAATGATGGCTACAGGTTTGGGGCCTCAGTAAGAACACCAATGCTCACCAGGTGCATCCAGCTGACACGTCTCAAATAGAACGAAATATGAATCCCTGCACTAACTCCTGAGTAGTCACCATTCACCAATTTACTTCAATAATACATACATAGTTTCCATGCTTACACCTATATGATTAGCATTAAATATTGTTAAGGTGTACTATCATTCTAAAGACTCTATAGCCCCTTAACGTATATATCTTGTAGGTGTATATCCAATGATGTATTTTGCAAGTGTTTTATGCCACTCTGCAGTTTAACATGACGTTCTCCTTTTGATGAAATTGCTGTCAGTCATGTGAGGGTGTAGCACTTACCCAAGAACTTATGAAAAAGTACTAATTTATGATACTTAATGGTTATCATTTATAACATAACTGATAGTGCCTGTAAAAATTGCATACATTGCTTGTAAACACCCTATTAGAGGACATTTGAAATTAATATTATTTGCTAAGTGCTATGCTGTACAGGATGAACAATGTATGTAATAGTGAAAACTGCAAATGAATACTTTCATGGCATAAGTATGAAAAAGTAGATTAAACCTTTGTCAGCAAAGGTAAGCAAATATAAAGCGTTTGGCTTTTATATAATTTCTTTCTAACTGCAAAGAAATAATAAAAAGACTTTATTAACTTAATTAATTTTGAGCCAGTCTGGTTACAACAATTCAACATCGCCGAAGTAATTACGACAAACAACTGTGTAAAGACATTTGCTTGTTGTTAATTTTTAATACACATATTTAACATCCTGCTTACCATACTGTCCTTATTCAATCTGAGTAAAAATAAATTTGTCATCATTACGAGATAGAGGTTTAACTTCTACATAAGACCTGATAAAGTAGTTGGCGGCATAAATGAATGTAAGTGAAATATCACTACGACTACTACTGCTCTATCTACTCAATCATTCGTCTCGTGTAGACTTTAGTTTGCAATATACCTTAATGCATGTATTCATAAGGATTGACATGACGCTTTAATTGAAATAATAGTATTGCACTAATTTTGATTCAACTTAATCTTACACGAAATGGAACTCCACCACAGTGCCTAAGTTCTAATTTTATACATCAAATACGCAGGCTATGTTTTTTGTCAGACATGGGTTTAGGAGATGTAGTCCCTTAACTTTATGCAGATTTTTAGGCTCGACTAAAGTGCCTATAATTCAATACTTACAACGACCGACAGTGTTCGTACAGAATTACACTTACGTTTAGTAACGAGTTCATGTCCTAGGGAGTACAGGTATAGCATGCCATACTCCCACCACGAGCACATGAAGTGAAAGACAACAATGCTTATAGGAAAAGTTTATTTTTATTGTAACACAAATTTAGTTCATTTACACATTAAGAAAACTTTGCATTCCTGTGACTACTTCTCCTGCGTAATCTGCAGCAACCCTGTCTCCAAATTTGTCACGAGTTTTCGTCAAGCAGGCAATCATAAGCCTCCTATTGGTTGAGTTTAAGCCCCATGGATTTTGCGGGACAACTGCTGACGTTCTTTGAGATGCGTATGAGTCGCTTGAACATGTCCATCGCTGACACGTCTGCAGCACATGATTAACTGCAAAATGTAGCGCAGGAAACGTAAAGATAATTATGAATACAATATTACAGGATTAATAATGGCAGTTCTCATATCCTGTTTCCAGTGAATGCAGTGTACACATGCAAACGTTTCTGAAAATTATAAATTTTAGTAGCTCAGATTCTCAGTTACTTAAGGTTATGTCAACATACATAACAAATCGAAAGTCATAAAACAGCAAATAGGTTAGCTAACAACATAATAATTCTTACGTATAATTAAACGTCAAGGTATTTTAAAAATATTAAATATACCTATAAAACACGCCTTTCTGAAATGCACCAACAGCAAATGTCGGCAAGTGTACCGACAATTCTGGAACGTTCTATATGCGCATGTGCATACACGCAGAGCCAACACTATTCTCCTCCCACTGTGTTTGAAGAAGACATAGTCCAAAGGTTCAACCTCCACGGAAGCCCACCATCGCATTTTATATTCAGGGATCACTTTCCGCGGGGTGTATGGCGTTATTTATCGTAGGATCGGTAGTAGACTTTGTGAACAAGGATACGTGAAACATAGTGACTGAGCTATCATCATCTCCTGGTGTATTCTTGAAGAACCTTGCTTACATTATTTATAAACCTTCAACACGCTTTTGTGCAGACTGTCTGATTTTTGCAGGTAACGCTT